GTGTAGCTTTGACTGTGCTGGACTCACCTAATAGACCAGGCTGGCCTCAAACTCATACCTGCTTCTGCCTCCCTGAGGGGAGTAAAGGTGTGCGCCACCACACTGGGCTTAAATTTTTTTGAACTCTAGCATTTCTACAGGATACCATCCAAATTCTTCATAACCTTGGGGGTGCCTATCTTCTGCTGGTATTTGTCATATAGTAACCAGATAAGCTAGGTTGGTTTTCTAACAACTTTTGACTGACCTTCTTTAATTTCATTATACAGTGGCATGGTAGGCCCTTGTCTTAATTCCTCTGTTTCTGTCTGAGTATCTCATTTTTATTTTTAAGTCTTATTTTTTTCTAAGGCTTGTCTCTTATCAATCCACTTTTCATATTTTTTCTTTTTTCTGTATCTCTGAAAGCTTTTTTAAGAGGGCACAGAAAGCTGCTTTGGATATTAAGAATAATATATGACATACCAGAATGATAGCAATCATAAGCAGTATTGAGCCAATATCAGTTAAGTAATTTCTTTTTTGTTTGTTTCTATTTTAAACCATCTAAGGTAGCACTATATAGGATCCAAATCCCTGTGTTATTTCCCATCCTTATGTTGGTTATTCTTTTTATTTTACTTAACTTTCTCTTTAAGGACTTCACTTTATTATTTTCAAACTATTTCTTTCTATGATTATTTATACCTAATTTCTTTTTTCTTTCTCGGTCTTCAGATTTAGTACATTACCCTTTTAGAAGTTTGGGACTTCAGCTTTTCAGTCTAGACTTGGATTTCTTCTGTATCTCTGGTGCTTCTTCTGCTGTTCAGCTTAGCACTTAACAGTGGTAGCTGGCTCTACTCCCCTCAGGTTGGTCTAGCCCTCCACTTGACTCTGGCTGCAGCACTCTGCTAGCCCATGCCAAGCCTTTCCAACCCACTATACTTCAACCATCCCACCCTGCCACATTGGGTCAGGAAAACTGCAGTCTCCAGGTCCTGTGCCTGTGAAGTACACTGTGGCTTCTGCACCCAGCTCACACCTGGCAGCCAGGTCCTGCTGCTCTGCAGGGCCTCTAGAAGAGGAGCCAAACCTCCACAATCAGCCTCTCTGGTTTCCCCACTCCTTCTTAAAGGAACCATCTCCCAGCCAGGAATAGTGGCACACTCCTCTAATCCCAACACTGGAGGAGGCAGAGGCAGGCGGATCTCTGTGAGTTAGAGCACAGCCAAGGCTATACAGAGAAACCCTGTCTCGAAAAACAAACAAAACAAAAAAGGGGCCACCTCCTGTCCAGCTAAGAAACACTGTTGGGCTCTATCCACCTGGAACTTTTTTCAGGCTATACTTCCTACAGCAAGGCCGCATACCCGCTAAGCCTTCCCAGACAGCACACCAACTACTGGGGACTAAGTATTCAAATGTGTGAGACTCATTCAAACCACCACACATAGGTTCCAGGGATTGGGATGCATGGCTTGCACAGCTAGCACTTTACCTACTGTGCCATCCCATTAACCCCTCTACACAATATTTTTAAAGATTTATTTATTACTTATGTAACATTGTGTCTGAACACCAGATCTTGCTATAGATGGTTATGAGCCACCATGTGGTTGCTAGGAATTGAACTCAGGACCTTTGGAAGAACATCGAATGTTCCTAACCTCTGAGCCATCTCCCCAGCCCCACACAAATATTTCTTTAAAAAGGAGGGAAGAAATTAAACAAACAAAGAACAACAAAAAAGAACAGGCAAGTTATAAGATATAAAAAGAAGTTTATAATAGCCAGGACATGCATGAAAGGAACTCTGCCTCATCTAAAAACACATCCAAATGAGGTGCCATTTTTGGCCCATCATGTTGGCACAATATTAGAAGCACTGACAACATGGTGGGGATGAGGAGGGAGTGGTTGTTGGGTGAAATTAATACAGGATTTGGCTTGTTTGTTGAGAAAGGGCTTGACGTCTCAACATCCAGTCCAAGCTGGGTTTGAACTTGCTGTGTAGCTAAGAATGACCTTGAGCTTCTAATTCTCCGAGCCATCCGAGTGCTGGGATTACAGGCATGAGCCACAACACCTGGTTTATGCCATTCTGAAGCTCTACCCCAGAGTTTGGTGCATGCTAGAATAAGCATTTTACCAACCTAGCTACTTCATCCCCAAGAAGAGTGTTTACAGTAACAATTTTGAGTATGTACTCCTGGCTTTAGAAGCCTGACCCAAGAAAAGAATTTTACTAAAAGCTGGGCTTATTGAACCTTTAACCTCAACAGGCTGTGTTCTAAATCCTTACTGTGTATTGACATACTCCTGCTGTAGCATGTGAGACAGATCACTCATTTGACGCTTTCAGCTACTCAAATAATTTGCTTAAGACTCTAGTGATTAATGATTTGAGCAAAGGCTTATATCAAAATCTACTGTCATGATTCCATGTAACAAGATATTTGTTGTTTCACCCTTTCAAATGCCATCTATATAGCCACCTGCAGGGAATGATTAGATCAGGTTGATTACATTTATACCTCACACTGTGGAACTTAAAACATCCATTTAAAAGAATGGGCAAGCAGCTAGAGAGGTAGCTAGCTTAGCCATCAAGAGGACAGGCTGTTCTTCTAGAAGACCCAGGTTCTATCACGAGTACCCACATAATGATTTACAGCCATTTTAAATTTCAGTTCCGGGGGATCCAGCACCTCCCTCTGGTGTTGAAGGGCACCAGACACACATGTAACACACAAAATATATGCAGGTAAAACACCCATACAAAAATAATATTAAGAAGAAGGAACAGGGGAAGTCCTCATGCAGTAACAGATCTCTAAGGTATATTCCTGAAAACAGCAGGTTAGCTTGTGTTTGTTTTTACACTTATTTATTTGGTGTGTGTGCACATTCTACGCTTGCATATGCAAGAACCATAACAAGTGTGTAGTTCAGAGGACAGCTTGTGAGAGCAGTTCCCTAAATCATGTGGCCTCCAGAAATTAAACTCAGGTCCTCAGGCTTGGTAGGAAGTGCCGTGACTTCATTTTTTGAGGGTAAAATTATACTTAAAATTATAGTATAAAATTATACTTAAACCTCTAGCATCCTACTACTGAAGTAGTTTCAGGAGAAAGCAGTATTATATGTAGCTTGATATAGTTTGAATGAAGAGTTCAAATGCACAGAAAACCATCTTGAAGGAGCTCTTTAAAGGTTTGGTTTTTCGGTTTGGGTTTTGATTTTTCAAGACAGGGTTTCTCTATGTCGCCCTGGCTATTCTGGAACTCACTCAGTAGACCAGGCTGGCCTCTAACTCAGAGATCCACCTGCCTCTGCCTCCTGAGTACTGGGATTAAAGGTGTGTGTCACCACCAGTCAGCTAAGATTTTTTTTTTCCAAAAGCTATAATTTTTGGATGACAATAAAAGCTTTATAGTTTATTTTTATTTGGATCCACGCAAATAAGGCACCCAGGAAAGTCATGAAATTAAACCTTTATTTCAAAAGAGTGTGCTTCCTACAAAGAATACTTAAAATGTTAAGATTGAGAATTGAACCCCCCCTTTTTTTTCTATAAAATCCCATATTGGGTAGGGAGTTCGCTAGGTAAGGTGTGTGCCTTGCAAGTCTGAGGACAGGACTTCAGGTTCCCAGAGCCCACACACAAACTGAATGGAAGGTGGAGAGAGCTCAGCAGTTTGAGACTGCTTACTGCTTTTGCGGAAGGTGGGGGTTTGGTTCCCAGCAGGTGGATCTCTGGGTTCAAGGCCAGCCTGGTGTGGTCTATATAATGAGTTCCAGGACAGCCAGGACTTCACAGAAAAACCCTGTCTCAAATAACCAAATAAGAAAAAGAATTAAATCTTGCTAGATATTTGATACTGTGGGGAATAGGAATCTTCAGTACATTTCAAGTTAATTGATACTTAGGTTTTGTAATCATTAAGGCTGGAAAAGCAACTTTATATGACTGTGCAAAATAGCATTATAAAATATTACAAATATTTATTCAGTGGTTTTTATTAAATTAAGCCCAAGTCAGCAATTAAAAATTAAAAAAGCGTTTAATGCAGTCCAGTTCAAAGACGCACTAATTTGATATTTATGCACTGAGAAATGGTAGTAGAAAATGTTCTTTTTTCCCCCTTTTTATCAGAGCTAAAAGCTTGGTCTGCAGCTCGTGGCCGAGTCCAGCCTGGAACGGAGCTGAGGTCCTCCGGCAGCACTGCTGGCATGGTGTGCTGCACGTGCAATGCACGTGCCGTGCTTAGACCCAGGCTGCACTGAGGCCTCGCGGTGCAGCCTTGCTGAGCGCAGCCACGGACATTTCAGAATCACCGTATGTGTGTTTCCCGGTGTCACACACTCATCATGCGCTCATTTTGTGACATATCACAGATGTGGAGTTCAGAGGGTAACCTGCTTGAGTCAGTTCTTCCTTCTACTGTATATATTCTTGATATCACACTCAGCTCAGCAGCTTTGGCAGCAAGTACCTTTACCTGGTGAGCCATCTTACCAGCCCTATGGATTTGATTTTGAATTAATTTTTGGTCATTTCACATTTAGAAACGTTTTGCTGTTGTCAATTTTGTTAACCTCACATTCAGTTACATGGCCCTGTATGGAGTCACAGCACAGTGTAAGAAGCTAGGCTATATGTCACTATAGATTCATTTTCCAGAATTTTATACTAATAAAATTCTTTAGCATATATTCTCCACACCCTTACATCTGGCCTTTTTCACTGAGCATAGTTATTTTGAGGGAGTCTCAAAAAAAATTTGAGACTCCCTCAAAATAACTGCATATGATTTTTTCAACTGCATATGATTCCAGTGTACAGATGGACCACAGTTTACCCAGTTTATCCATTCACTTGTTGACAGAAAGGTTCTTTTTAGTTCTGAGCTACCCAGTTTAAAGTGGTTATGAACATTTGTTTGCAGGTGTTGGTTTGGATGCATTCTGAATTAAATAAGCTCTCAATACTTTCCTGTCTTCTGTTTTTGTTGCAGAAAGTTATCGGGTGGTACAGATTCCGGAGAAACACCCAGCAACAGATGTCCTACAGAGAGCAGGTCATCCACAAGCAGCTCACCCGAATCCTTGGTGTGCCAGACCTTGTCTTCCTTCTCTTCAGTTTCATCTCTACCGCCAACAATTCTACTCACGCTTTAGAATATGTTCTCTTTAGACCAAACCGCAGGTAAAAGAAAGCTTCCCACCAGCTCCACAGAAAAACAAAGATACCAGGCCTGAAGGGAGGGCTCAGTGGGTAAAGCAAGCCTGAGGACCGGAGTTTGGCTCTCTAGCACGTATGTAAAAGTTGGGCATGGCAACCTGCATCTGTAACCCCAGCCAGCTGGGGTTCAGAAACAAGTGCATCCCCTGAGGCTTGCTTGCCAGTTAAATGAATTGAAGTGGTTTGGGGATCAATAAGCATCATTTAGACATGTTTGTTTTTCTTACAAGTAGACACTTCATTTGCTACTTCATGGCCCTTCATACAAAAATAGTTTTGCTACTTTTGAGTCTAATTGTAACTTTAGAACACACAATGCAAAGACAGAAATTATAAAAATGATCCATTATTAGTGATGAGAGTTTTGCATTGTGACCTTGTTAAAGAAAAACAAACAAACAAAAAAATTATGTGACCATGTTTTCTGCTTGAGAGTTGCAAAAAGTTTTCTCTTTTGAAATGTGCTCATAGGATCAGTAGTCAACATCAGTGAAAATAAGTAACTATTTCTAGGATTTCATTAGTTATCTCCTGGGTATTTCTTTAGGATTTGTCAGTCACTGTCATGCACATAATGTATGAGCCATAGCCCCTGCCCTCAAGGAGTGTGCAGCAGAGTTTCTGCTTTAAGGGAAGGGAAGTTGCTAATGATGCATCATAGGTGGTCATAGGCCTTTGTGTTAGCTTACCAGTGTTGGAGACACAAAGCCTAATCCTTTGCTGTTGTTTTTGAGGCAGGGTCTTGCTCTGTAGTCCAGATGACCTGGAATTTGCAATGTAGACTAGGACAGCCTTGAACTTGTTGTGAGCCTCCTGGGTTTGCTGTTTGCTTTTTTGAGATAGGGCCTCTCTGTAGATCCCTGACAGGCCTAGTACTCACCATGTAGATCAGAACTAGTTTGTATAGCTCAGAATGACTTTGAACTTCTGATTCTCCTGCCTTTACCTCCTAAGGAATGCCAAGATGACAGATGTGTGCCACCATGCCTGCTTTATGTGGTGCTCAGTATTGAGCCGAGGGCTTTGGGCACTCTAGGCAAGTTCTCTGCCTACTGAGCTGCATCCACAGCCACCAATCCCAATTCCTTAAATTTTTTTAAAAATATTCTGTATATGAGTGTTTTGCCTGCATGTTTTTTTGTTTGTTTGTTTGTTTTGTATACCACATATGTGCCTGATGCTGGCAAAGACCAGAAGAGAATGTTGGAACTGGAACTGGAGTCACAGATGATAGTGAGCCATCATGTGGATGTTGGGAATCAAACTTGTCAATCCCAATTCTTAAGGGATACTTTTTAAACTGGGAATAATGATACATAACTGTAAACCCAGCAGTGATGTTCCGAGGTGATCAAAGTATTTGAGCCCTTGAGTTCAGCACTTAATAGGCAACACAGCAGTAGAGCCAAGTATGGTGGCATAAGTCTGTAATCCCAGCACATGGGAGGCTGAAACAGGCAGAGTGAGCATTTGTACCCAGCTTAGGCTGAGACCCTGCCTCAGACAAACAAGAAATGTACTTATTACATGCTGTTTTTCTCAATTCTCCCCATAGGTATAATCAAAGGATATCGCTTGCTATTCCCAATCTAGGCAATACTAGCCAGCAAGAGTACAAAGTGTCTTCAGTGCCAAACACCTCTCAAAGTTATGCCAAAGTCATTAAAGAGCATGGGTAAGTTGAAAGGTAAAGTGAGTTCTTTTGTCAACAGCATTTCCTTTGTCGATACTTTTCAAAGTGCAAGGAGAAATGTAAAATCAAGTTAGTTTTAACTAAAATTGAAGAAAATGGGCTGGAGAGATGGTTCAGCAGTTAAGAGCACTGACTGCTCTTCCAGAGGACCTGGGTTCAGTTCCCAGCACTCACATGGCAGCTCACAACTGTCTGTGTAACTCCTGTTCCGGGAGACCTGACACCCTCACATACATGTACATGCAGCCAGACACCAGTGTACGTTAAAATAAAAATAAAGCCTTTAAAAAAAAAGAAAAGAAATTGAAGGGAACAGACTGTTGTCTAGACCCCCACCACCATACACCACAATTCATTCTTAATAATCTTAATAAACTATAGAAATGATCCCTGAAGCTGAGTGTGGCAACTCACACCTGCAGTCACATCACTGAAGAGGCTGAAACAGGTGTTGATCATAAGCTCAAGGCCAGCTTACAGAGTAAGCTTCCTTCCTCATACAAAACAAAACCGCAGCAGCAACAACAACAAAAGCCACAGCAAAACAAACCTGCTCTGTAGGGCATGGTAGCACATACTTTTTAAAACCCAGCACCCAGGAAGCAGAGACAACAGACTTCTGTTGAGTTCCAGGCTAGCCTGGGCTACATGTGAAGCCCTATCTTAAAAATTGATCTAAAACACTGAGGCTGGAGAGTTAGTTCAGTGGGGATTAAGTACTTGATGTGTGAGCATGAGACCTGAGTTTGGAGTCTCATCATGTAAAAAAGCTGGGTAGGAGGCTGGAGAAAGGAGGCTCGGTGGTAGAGAGCACTGGTTGCTCTTGCAGAGGACCTGGGTTTTATTTCCACATCAACATGGTGGCTCGCAGTTATTGGATCCAGTGCCCACTTCTGGATTCTGCAGGTACTAGGCATATATGTGGTTCACAGACATGCATGCAAATAAAACATTTATACTCATAAAACAAATTAATTAGTTACAAGTAAGAGGCTGGACTGGGTATATCACATTGATAACTCCTGCACTAGGAGCACACAAACAGGCAAGGTGCTTGGGATATGCTGATTAGCCAGCAAAACAGCCAAAATTGAGCACCCCATGTTCTGTGAGACACTCTGTCTCAAACAACAAGTTGACCTCTGGCCCCTACACAAGCATGCATGTTAAAGCACACTTGTACACACATCAACAAACATGCATGTGCACCTTTACACACACACACACATGCGCGCGCGCACATGCAAGCACTGCACATACACACATATAAAAGAATCCGTGGAAGTATTAAGTTTTTTATTCTTATTGAAAAGATAATTTTACTGCATCTTCCCTCAGGTTTCATTTATTTTTAAATTTTATTTTATGCATGTAAATGTTTGCCGGGGTGTATGTGTGTGTGCTGTGTGTACGGCGCCTGAGGAGAGCAGCGGAGAGCACCTGACCTCCTGAACTAGAGTTGCAGATGCTCTGATTTGCGTGTGGCTGCTGGGAGCCAAGCCCAGGTCCTCTGCAAGGGCAGAGAGTGCTTATAATGAGCTTATAACCTCTCCAGCTGCTTTCCTCAGGTTTAAAAAGAAAAACAGCCAGATGTGGCTGCTCACACCTTTAATCCTAGTAATTAGGAGTCAGAGTGGGTGGGTTTTTATGAGTTCCACGCCAAAGGGAACTTCATAGTTTTAGGCCAGCCAGGGCTGCATAGAAAGACCTTGCCTTTTTTTGTTTTGTTTGTTTTTGGTTTTGAGACAGGGTTTCTCTATGTAGTCTTGGCTGTCCTGGACTCGATTTCAAGACCAAGCTGACCTCGAACTCACAGAGATCCACCTGCCTCAGCCTCCCTGAGTACTGAGATTACAGGCGTGTATCACTACACCTGGCTGAAAGATCCTGTCTTAAAAAAAAAAAGAAAAATCGGTATAGTCACTGAAAAATGTTGTTTTTAATTAGTGACATTTTTTATTTTTTTTTTATAACTAGTGGAATGAGCACTTTATTGCTTAGATGTTGTGACTTTTGAGTCACAGTATGTAATTAAAACTGTATGGTAGAAGTGATAACAAAAATGCCTCTCATGTTCATGGCGATTTTAATAACTGACCTCTTTGAGCTGGAGAGAAGGCTCAGAGGTTAAGAACACTGGTTGTTCTTCCAAAGGTCCTGAGTTCAATTTCCAGCAACCACATGGCTTATAACCATCTATAGTGAGATCTGGTGCCCTCTTCTGGTGTAGGCAGAACACTGTATAAATAATAAATAAATGTTAAAAAAAATTAAATAAGACTGATCTCTTTTTCTGTCTTCTAGTACTGACTTTTTTGACAAGGATGGCGTCATGAAGGACATCAGGGCAATTTATCAGGTTTATAACGCACTTCAGGAGAAAGTACAGGTAACTGATATTTCCAACTTGTTCACATTGTTCAAATACTGCTTTTCTTTTTTAATATATATAACTGACAAATGAATGAGCAGTGGTTCAAAAGCCAGAACAGACCTTGCTAAGATAATGTCAGATGTCAACCTCCAAGCCCTGCCTCATGTGCCAAGGGAGAGGCACTGCATTACTTACTAGGGCTGCTGCTTAGAACACTCGGAACCCCTTTGCAGTCATGCTTTTTCTGGGAGTGTATCTTCAAAAATGAGCCTGAAGAGGTGTGCCAAGGATGCAGTATCTCTGTCAGTTATATTCTACGGGGAGAGAGTGTCAAAGCTGACAGTCCAATCTTTTTATCTTGTTGGTTCATTTTGGCCCCTGCTGCCACTGTGGGGTGGGAGGATTACAGTAGAATCTGTTTCTTCCTAGTCAATCACACGACAAATACTTGGCACCTCCTCCAACTGTCAGTGTTTAGCTGTCAGTACTTCCCACTGCACTTAAGTTTGAGAAGAAGAAAAGTGGCAACATTGGAACTCCCCTAGGCCTAGGGGAGAGCCCAAAGAATAGAGGGAGAAGGAGTGAAGGTAGCATCTGAAATGGGGAAAGCCTCTCTAAGAGGACAAAGCAGGGCAGGGCAGGGCAGTTTCCAGGGCCTGCGTTCACCACACCCTTAGAAGTGGAGGGAATGCTAGTCACACTCACGATGCCAAACTTCTGGAAGTTTCTGGGATTCCTGCTATGGGAGGGATGTGCAGTGGGAAACAGGTTTTTGTCCTGAATTCATGACTATGACCTTTCAGACTGTTAGCACTAGCCAAACGACTTCTAAATGGTGTCACACATTACCTTGCTGATTAAAGAATGCCCTCTCGCAGAGTGGTTCTTGGCAGCTGAATTACACATTTTCCAACCTCAACTCTGAAACTTACTTTCTGTCCAGATTTCCCTTATCATAATTATTTTCCATTAAATAAATCTGTCTTGTGTTTTTTCTAATTTTATATCTATAGATGTATCACCTACATATATGGATGTTTTGCTTGTGTGTATGAATGTGTGCCATATGCATGCAATGCCCGTGGAGGCCAGAAAAAGCCATCGGATTCCCTGGGGCTTGAGTTTGATCCCGAGAACCCACTTAAAGGGAAAAGGAGAAAACTGACGCCACTAAGATTCCCTCTGACCTCCACATGTGGTCATGACACACACACACACACACACTGTCATACATATACATGCTAATTCTGCACTTATTAACTTTTTTAACTTATTAAGTATGTATGTGGAGTATGTGCAGGCAAATGCAAGTACCCACACAGGCCAGACAATTCTACTGAGCTCAAATTACAGGCAGTTATGAGTCACCTAACATGGGTACTAGGAACCAAACTCAGTCCTCTGCAAGAGGAGCCATGCTTTTAAACAGTGAGCTATCTCTCTAGCCCCTAATGATAATATTTCAAAACTAAAATTTTAAAACTAATCTTCATTGTGTTGATTAATATAATATAGCTTTCAGGACACAGCCTTCAACAAAAAAAAAAAAAAAAAAAACACAAGTTGGAGAAGTGGCTCAGTGGTTAGGGAGTTTGCTGTTTAGTGTGAGGCCTAGAGTTCAGATCCCAGAGTCCATGTGACAAGGTGGGCATGGTCCTGTGCATGTGTATAACCTTAGCCCTGAGTGGCAAGAGGCAGGATCAGAAGCTTGCTAGCTTCCAGTCTGGCCAGAAAACCTCATGAGTTCCCTGTTAAGGAGAGACACTTTTTCAGAGGAATAAGGCAGAGGATGATAAAGGGAGACACCTGATGCCATCGTCTTAACGTGTGCACCCCAAAGCAGACATTTGTAAAAATTTTAATTGGTGGGTGGTTCTTGAGGAAAGACACTGAAGGTTGACTTCTGGCTCCCACACGCATGTGTACCTGTTCGCCTGCACGAACACATTGCATATAAACACACAGAGAAGAAGAGCAATCCTGATCAGGCATGGTGGCATACACTTGTAATCCTAGTGCTCAAGAGGCTGTGGTGTCAGATCTTGAGTTAGAGGCCAACCTGGGCTGTACAAAGGGGAGTGGGAGACATAGTCTGCTTTCATGAACACTCAAGACTGCTCTGCCTTTTGTCTGTATTTAGCTTTTATGACTTCAGTGCCTGTCGACCTTGGAGGCCAAAATAAGGCGTGGATCCCTCGTAACTGGACCCCCCTGTGCTTGTGGGCCTGCTGGGTTCTCTGGAAGAGTGCTCCCAACTGCTGAGCCATCTCTCCATTACTGTGCTGTTTTCCTGGGATTGTAAGAGGCTAAATCTGTAGGTTACTTTCTGCCTGGGGTTGAAACTAACCTTTCTTCTTGTGTTTTTTTTTTCCCCCTCAGGCAGTCTGTGCAGATGTAGAAAAGAGTGAGCGAGTTGTTGAATCTTGTCAGGCAGAAGTGAACAAATTAAGAAGACAAATCACTCAGAAGAAAAATGAAAAGGAACAAGAAAGAAGTAAGCTGATGGATCTACCATCAGTATCAGGGAGTGGCTTTGTTCAGTAGGGTGGGACACTGTGGATTGAACAGAGAGTTTCCCACAACCTAAGGACAAACTCCACCAGGGAGCTACACTCTGACCCCTTTTTTTGTATTTATACACTGTCTCACTATCCCTGGTAGGCTTGAAATTCACTATGTATACCAGGCTGGCCTCTAACTTGAGATTTGCCCCACCACACCACACCACACCACACCCCAAAGCCTCCTAAGCACTAGGATTACAGGTGTATGCTACCATGCTTGATCAGGATTTTTTTTCTATGGGATCCACGTGGCTCTACCTCCTGAGTGTTGGGATTAAAGTCATCTGCTTACTGTGCCCGGCTTTACTTTTTTGTTGTTGTTTATTTTTTGTTTCTGTTCATCCATCCATCCATCCATCCATCTATTCATTCATATATCTATTTATTTTTTAATTAATTTATTTTGAGTACCAGTGGGAGGTCAGTTTGTAGGAGTTGGTTCTCTTCTTCCACTCTGCGGGCCCCAGGAATTGAACTCAGGTTGTCAGGTTTGAAAACCAGGGCTCTAATTCACTGTACCAACTCACTGGCTCTACTTTTAATTTTTGAGAAAGTGTTCATAAGCTTTCCAGGTAGGCTTTGAACTTGCTATATGGTCCAGGCAGACCTCAAACTTGTGACCCTCCTGCCCCAGTCTCCAAAGTAGAATTTTTTGTTTGTTTTTAGAGGCAAGATTTCTCTGTATAGCCCTGGCTGTCCTGGAATTCTCCTCTTTAGCCCTAGCTGGCCTCAAACTAAAAGAGATCCACCTGCCTCTACTGGAATTAAAGTCATGTGCCACCGTGCCTACCTCAGTGTGGCTAGGATTACAGGTCTTGCTACCTGGTTAAAATATTTGTTACTTTATTATCAAATTATCCATTAAAAGGCGCAAGTCCATTTGGAAAACTCTTTCCTGAGGAAGGGTGTCATATAGCCCAGACTGGCCTTAAACTTTCTCTGTAGCTGAAGACCTAGAACTTCTGATTCTGATTTTTCCTCCAAGTGCTAGGAAGAGCCACCACATTTTGAGTAGTGCTGGGGACTGAATCCTAGGCTTTGTGCATGTTAGGCAAGCTCTATCTTCAGTTTGCCATGAATCCTATACTAAGCAAGTACCAGGTTCACATGAAGGAAGGAGGGCATTCCCTTGTTATTAAGCATTTCCTAATGAGAAGTGCTATTTTCATGGAATTCCTCAAGTTTCCAAAACAGAAACAAGAGGACCAAAGAGAAAAGCTGAAGCAGAAATTAGAGCAGATCTAAGAAATTTGGTACAGGTTTTTTTCATGTATTAACAGTATCACCTGTTTCTCACAACCAAATGCTTGGGGGCTAGAAAGATGGTTTAGGGGTTAAGAGATATTGCTGCTTGTTCAGGGGACTAAGTTTGGTTCCCAGAACCCACAGAAGCCAGTTCACAACTGCATGTGAATCCAGTTCCAGAGCATCCAGCGCCCTCTTCTGGCTTCCCTGGGCACTTTTATGAAAATGTTAGGAACAGACACAAGTACACTTTAAAAGAAAAGCAATACGGCCTTTGATAGGATACTGTTTAGGAATGTTCCATGTTCGTGTGACTTGTAAAGGTATTGAGAGTGGCTTTCAGTATCAGCTGGTAGTCCCAAGGCTTTTTTAGCCCTAAATCTGGAGTGACAAACTTACGTTCTGCATCTTGAGGCTGCACTTCTAATCAGATTGCCTGAATTTTCAACTCTGGTTTCTTTTTTGTTTGTTTTTGTTTTTTGAAACAGGGTCTCACTGTATAACTATGGTTGGCCTAATACTCGATATGTAAAAAAATTAATGTATAGAGAAATCTTTTTTTTTTTTAAGATATCAGCAACCATCAGTTCACAGCATGGCTGCTCATTTCCTGAATGTTCAGGTTGACCATTTAACGAGTAAGGGTAAAAAGCTATGAAGATATGGAACTTGTTAAAACATTCTTCTTGTTTCTGTGCAGGATTGCAGCAGGCCCTGTTAAGCAGACAGATGCCATCCGAAAGTCTGGAGCCTGCATTCAGCCCCCGGATGTCCTATTCTGGGTTTTCAGCTGAAGGGAGAAGTACTCTAGCAGACCCGGAGCCCTCTGATCCTCCTCCCCCTTATTCTGATTTCCACCCAAACAATCAAGAGAGTACTCTGAGCCACTCTCGCATGGAAAGGAGTGTCTTCATGCCTCGGCCTCAGGCTGTGGGCTCTTCCAACTACGCTTCCACCAGTGCTGGACTCAAGTTCACTGGAAGTGGAGCAGATCTTCTTCCTACCCAGAGTGCAGCTGGGGACAGTGGAGAGGAGTCAGATGACAGTGATTATGAAAATTTGATTGACCCTGCAGAGTCCCCTCATAGCGAATACTCACATTCAAAGAATTCACAGCCCGTGACACATCCCAGTGAGGACCCCAGGAACACTCAGACCTCCCAGATTTAAGTAAACAAATGATACTCTCCACTTGGCACTGCTTTTCTTAATGGCTTATTGAGTGTTTGTTGAGGACTTACTCTGGGGGGAAAACTGCTTTCTCAGATGCCGTGGCTCCTGAGTGGGGCATCCTGTGCACAGAACTCCTGGAATCCTCTGTGTGCTGGTCCTCACCTCTGGGAGCAGTGCACAGGTTCACAACAGAATCATTATGATAATCAAATTGTCCTAATTCTGGTGCGATTTATGGATGTACTAGTAAATTTAGGCAGAGTGAAGCTCCTCGGTGTAGCCTGTTCTTTAAGATAAATTGGAGATCAGAGACTAAGCACAATTAGTCTGTAATACTCTCTAAGTCAGAAACTTACCTCTGCACTATCATGCCTTGAAGTTTGCTTTTTCAAAGGGAAACGAGTTTAGCAGCAGCCTTCAAAGAACTTTCTATGATGAGCCAAATTCATCTTTGCCAGAAAAGAAATTTTGTTAATTCCAAGAAGCCTAATTGGAACAAGTCAGACATTCCTTCTCTCATCTGCATGGCTTTGTAAGATGGGAAAAGAGAGCTTTGTTTCAATGTTTTTCTACTAGCCTGATGCGTATTGTCACTTAAAATGGTTGCCTTTTTTAAAAATGTAGAAATACTAATCCCCGGTGAGTACTCGTCCAGATCAGTGTCCTGAGGTCAGTTCCTTGTTTTTTGGTATTCGGCAGCGACGGCACTGCAGCAACATGGTTGGCCTCTGTTTTGGAGCCTCTGAGGGAGGCCGCACAACAGTGGATAGCAGAAAGGAGGCGCCAGGCCTGAGTCTGTGGTGCCGCACACAGCGGACTTAGCTGAGCTCTGGGTAAAGGGTGTAATGCGCTTAGTTCTGGCAGCTCCCGGGCAAGGCTTGTGGAGGAAAGACAGATACCCAGGGATCCTGAAGAAAGACCCACTGCAAGTCTGAGTAACCTTACCTTTTTTTTTTTTTTTTAAAGTTGCCATTTGGGGAAAATGCAAATGTGTGGAGACCATTGGGATGCACTTACGCTTTTATTTAATTACTGCTTGTTTTCTGGTTTTGCCCAGAATGTGTGAAACCACTAAAAAACATTTCTCAATATGTTGGGCTACTGGAAGCGCACAGGTTTATGATGCTATTGTTTATGGCATCATCTGTCAGCCCATGATGGTTGGCGCTGAGCTGCCTTTCTCTGGACAAGTTAGAACGTGTAAGAGTAAAGGTGCCATTGAGAGGCTTAAAATCTGGTTCCAAAGGATTCTTTTGATTTTATAGCGATGTTTACTTGCGAGCTTCAGCTCCCAGTCTCAGACAGTGGATACAGGCTTAGGAATAAGATGCTGGGCTACCCTGTTTTGGTTGTGCCCCAGGTCTGCATTGTAACAGCTGTCCTGGTTTTTCTGGGCTCACACCACTGCCGTTTGATTTGAATGCTGAGGGTCACTTTATCTGCCGTACGTTCCAGCTTTTATCAGCTACCTACTAGCAGCTTCCGCACGGTCTGAATTCCAGTTTTTTAAAGTGTCATCACCATCTCCTCTGTTCAGATTTTGACATTCAGGAAAATACTCTTATTTTTATGCCATACTGAAATATACAGTGTATATCGGACGAAGCAGTTAAATGTGACAATAAAAACTTATTTAATCATGATTATTTTACTGTCTGTCTCCACACCAGCAGGTTCTTGCTTCAGTAGGTGTTACCTAGTGTGTGTGTGTGTGTGTGTGTGTGTGTGTGTGTGTGTGTGTGCATGCATTTGTGAGCACAGGTGCTAGTGAAGTCCAGAAGAGGATATCCGGTCCCCTGGAGCTGGATTTACAGATGGTTGGGATCTTCCAATGTAGGCACTAGGAACTAAAGTGATTCCTTTGTAAGAGCAGCAAGTGTTCCTAACCACTTTGCCATCTCTCCAGCCTGTGATAGATAGCTTTAAAGGGCATTAAAACTTGTTCTTAGTCTCCATATGAACTTGTCAGTCTGGCTTCAGGTATCTGAGAACACAACTTCGTCAAATTCATGTTGATTTCAGGGAAGGTATGGTGAGAACCAAACTGTCTAGAGAAGTGTTCGTAGCGGATAAAGCTGAAGCCTGGAGAGGCTGCTGAAGGCACCTACCCAGAAGAGCCGCTGTGCTTGGAAGTGGTGATTCCACCTGTGTCCCCAACATCAGAGATGCATGAGTTGGTGCTTGTGAGAGGAGCTTAGAACATGTGGGCTCTCAGAACAGGGCCAGCAAATGTGTTCTGGACTCTGGAGCTGTAGCATTGAGTGATAAGGTTTTTAAACCCAGGGTTTACTCTGAATTCTGAGAAAACATGATTAAATGTTGTGATTGGTGTTTCTGAATTAGTGTCAAAACATCTCATTGGAAATTCATTCCTAAACAGTCAGGATATAGATCTTTAAATGCCAGGCAGTAGGGCAGGTGATGCTGATTACTTTAGCAAAATAACTTTACCAAGAAGGCCTTTAAAAGGCTAGCGAGAGGTGCTGGAGAGATGGCTCAGAGGTTAAGGCACTGGCTGCTCTTCCAGAGGTCCTGAGTTCAATTCCCACAACCACATGGTGGCTCACAACCGTCTATGATGAGATCCCATGCAGTCTTCTGACCTATACGTGTACGTGCAGTCAGAACATTGTATATGTATAAACAAATCTTTAAAAAAAAAAACAAGTGAGATGGCTCAGCAGCAAAAGCATTTGCTTATAAAGTCTGACGCCATCCCAGTGCTGGGCCCACCAGAGGATCCCTGGAGCTGGCTGGCCACATAGTCATGCCCAATCATTGGACTCGAGACGGGGGTGGGGGAGAGATTGAGGGGTTGGGGAGATCCTGAGATTAACATGGTGGGAGGAGCTAACCAACTTCCCATAAGCTATTCTCTGACCTCCCCATGGGTGCCGTGACATACATAGACACACACATATGAAACAAGACACCTGATGTCGACCTCTGGCCCCCACATGTGTAGGCGTGGGCAAGCATGCTCACACACAGTGTACACACAGACAAAAAGACCCCACAATAGAAAAAGATTTTTTTTTAATCAACATAAATAAAAACCTAGGAGAAGGTTACGGTTGTGAGTTGTGTTCTGGATCTGCTTTGCCTTGGTTGCAAGCACCTTCAGTGATCGGCGGCCTCACAAGGTTCTGTCCATGCTCTGAAGGTATGCTAGCAAAGAATGCAAAATGTAGCGGACATACCGGCACACACCTTTAATCTCTGTTCCTCTGAGGTCAGCTTGCTCTACAAAGTTCTGGGGGCCGGGGGTCAAGGAAAGGGCAAGTGTTTACTTCTCAGCTGACGGGCTTCTGAGAGATCCTAGAATTTGGTTAACTGTCTTCACGCGTCTCTGTGGAGTGTGTGTGTGTGGTGTGTGCAATGTGGGAGCATGTACGTGAAAGGAATGTCAAGGACAACTTTTGGAGCTGCTTCTCTCCTTCCACTGTCGATTCCAGAGATCAGACGCAGACTGTCATGCTCACATAGCAAGCACTTTTACTTGCCAGTTGTCTTACTTTTTTTTTTTAATGATTTATTTATTTTATGTGCATCAGTGTGAAGGTGCTAGATCCCTTGGAAATGGAGACAGTTGTGAGCTGCCATGTGGGTGCTGGGAATTGAACCCAGGTCCTTTGGAAGAGTAGACAGTGCTCTTAACCACTGAGCCATCTCTCCAGCCCCCTGTCTTACTTTTCATAGTGATTTTTGTGATGTCTTCAGTAAGGCAGGAGTCAGGCCACAGAGTGTAGATGACCTGGCTATCTGATCCCTGATCATTGTGACAGGGGCATCAGAACACTCACAGAGAGATGGTGTGTTTGCATTTTATTCAAGCAAAGATTTGGAAAAAAAAAAAAAAAAAAAAAAAAGCTCATTCTAGTGTTTTGCTAGACACAAACACTAGAAATAGCATTCATGCTAATAATAGTCAAATTTCATGCATTCTCTGGAAGAAATAGTCTGCAGCTGTTAAAAATGTTAAGATAGAAGCCAAACAATGTTCTTGGTGTGGAAAGGTGGTTTGGAAATACTAAATGAAGAAACACAGGTTTCCAGATAAGTATGACCTGATTTTTGAGGGAGAATCATACGGGCTTGTTCCTTGATAGAAAGGACTGGAAGGAGATTCACTTAGGCACTAACAGTGCTGTTTGTAGACTGTGAAAATAAGGGTGACCTTTATCCCATTTTTTTGCTTCTTCACATTTGTTTTTTTTTAAAATAGGGGCTGGAGAGATGGCTCAGTGGTAAAGAGCATTGGCTGCTCTTCCAGAGGACTCTGGTTCAATTCCCGGCACCTACATGGCCGCTCACAATTTCCAGTGGGTCTGACTCCTTCACACAGACATGTATGTATGCCAAACACCAAATGTACAGAAAATAAATAAATTTTTAATTTATTATTATTATTTAGTTTTTTGGGACAGAGTCTCACTTTTAGCCTTGGCTGGCCTAGAACTCATTACATGGAGCAGGCTGGCCGTGACTCATAGAGATCTGCCTCTGCTTCCTGAGTGCTGGTCTCAAAGGCGTGAACCACTCTGCAGGCATTTTGTTAATTCTGTGTTGGAAGGCCTGGTTATGTGTATTGGGTACATTTGAGTGTCGTGCCTGTGGGGGTTGGGAGAGCATCAGCTCCTGTGGATGGTTGTGAGCCACCCAGGGAGTGCTGGGAACCAAACTCCATTCCTCTGAAAAGCAGTACATTCTCTTGACCCCATCTCTCCAGCCCCTTGCTCACACTTTCTAAACAGTTCACAGTAAGTGTTTGTACAGTAAGTCTTCAGGAATGGTGCCCCCTTGGTGCCTACCACCCGAGGGGTGACTCTAGGAGCAGTGTGAGTCTTTGGTTTCCTGCTGTACATTGTTTTCTCAGACAGGTAATCTATATCCAGTTAGCCTTGCTGGGCCAGCTGACTTCCTAGTGCTCAGCCTTGTCTCCCTCCTGGAGAAAAGCCCCTCCCTCCCCTTTTTTAAAATCAACACTTTTTTTTTTTTTCCACTTAGTAAATCTAAAATCAAGTTAACTTTTCTTAGCTCAGAATCTGTTTCCTACAGGTCCAGAAAGTCTCAGGGAACAAAGGCAACATGAAGCCAGATGGGTTCCATTCCTCTAAGGCGGAAGCCAGGAAGTGCTACAGCATGGATTTGGGAAGACCCAAAATGTAGAAAGAATTCCCTTGATGTGGGGCCGACGGGGGTGGGGTGGGGCACACATGCATTTCCTTGATCGTATAATCTCTTTTAAGACTGTCTTTCTGCCTGCTATTGTTGCGTACTGTGGTAGCCCTCAACTTGTATCAGGAGGTGCAAAGCGTCTGTCCTGTTAGTCTGGTCCTCATAAAAACAAGTCTGGGAGGTGTCTGATTCCAAAACAAACATTTCCTTGTTAGGAACATTTGCTGTGGCCAGCTCACTGTGGTTGGCAGAGCTGGGGGCGTTAGGCTTCAATGACAAACAGATGTGGTTTAGTTGTGTTAAACATGCATCACTCGAAAGACCTTTCTGCCAGTTCCAGATCAGGTGTGTGGGAGAAGCAGAGAAACAGTAGCTGCTCCCTAGGAACAAGCACAGGTCCCTGGCTTGCAGGAGATGGGAAGTGAGGAGTCAGAGTTTATGCAACTTGACCCTTTAAAGGAGTTTTCAGTCTGGGACAAGGCTGCCCATTGTTTGGGGGCCAGCTCAAATGTCTCCTTTAGAAATCCCTTCTGAGTGCCCGGGGAGAACTGTGCAGCTCAAGTGCGATGCATTTATCTTGCAGTAACTACCCAACACAGGGCAGACAGAGAGTTAGTGTGTCCCCCTCTGCTGGTCGGCAGTGATGCCCTGGAGAGCAGAATCCCCAGTGCCTGGTGCAGACTGGGAACCAAGAAATATGGGGTGAGTAAAGGGACATAGTCACTGTATTTAGAAGGAGTCAATACTTGCTAGCTACCACCGGGGAGGTGCTGGTGAGAACACTGTCTAGGCTGTGAGGTGGCTCAAGTCCGTAATGCAAACCACACCAACCTGGGGACAAGCGTTTGAGCCCCAGAACCCACATAATGGTGGAAGGAAAGAACTGACTCCACAAAGTTGTCCTCTGACCTCCATTTGTGTGCCGTGACACACACACACACGTACACACACACACACACCTACAGTTGTAGCTTCTTTACCATGATGGGCTGTATGCCCTGGAACTGTGTGCAGAAAGAAACTCCTCTCCTTATATTAATTTTTGTCAAGTACTTTATCACAACAGTGAGGCAAGTGATTAACATGTCAGGCTTTAGGCAAAGAATCCCTAAATATATAAGGAAATCCTAATAAGGTCACCCCCCATACAGGCCAGTGTCTGCAGATCCATCTTCCCAACTCACAGCTGTCTACAAATAAAACAGAGAGTTGGGTGTCTTTAATATGGCACCATAGCAACAGGGGACTCCTACCATTCAGAACGAAGAACCCCAACCGAGACTGAGGCCTGTCAGAAATAAACACATCATCTTCCTCGGTCTCAGTTTCCCACTCTGCAATGAACAAGAGGTACCAACTGGTGGCTTGCTTGGTCCCATTTACTTCCAAGTTTCTGTGGAAAGTTCGAGATGAAGGCAAGGTGTACACAGAGGACTCAGAACGGAGAAAAACAGGTACAGAACCT